TAATGACCTAAAGAGATAGATATACTCTAACCCAGTTCAGAAATGACTAATACAATATTTATTATCATTCATAAAACTTCTACATGTAAGAAATATTGATTTTCTCCCCTCATGAGATGCTTACTGTAAGTAAGGCCTGTTTTGGATTGTGTGTCTGGCTTCGAAGAGGAAGTTTTTAAAAAAAGATTATTTTACTTGTGAGACTCAAATTTTGACGTTACAAAAAGTCTGCCTGGGCCTCCTTTCATTTATTTAAATCCGGCCTGTGTAGAGGATTTCAAATCATTGTCGAAAGGTTAGACATATAGAAGAGTTACTATCTATAATTTCAATATACTTGCATGTAGAGGCGTAACTAGGGATTCGCTAACATTTGGTACCCCGGGGGAGCTTGACCTCTTTAGAGGCCACTGCATTTTGACATTCGACATCGTAACATGAGATAATGGCGTAATGTTTAGTATTTGATGAAAAAAAAATTCGAAAACTCAAGTGGGGGCCCGGTGAGGATTTTCAAATTCTCCTCCCCCCCTCCCCCACCATAGCTACGCCACTGCTTGCATGTATGTCCATTTACTTAATCGCCCGCCCTTTTTTAAAATCAAAACACACACACACGCACACACACACACCTCTCTTAGTTGTAACAGTCGACATAACTTGGTGGGAGGAAAGTCTGTTCTCTTGATAAAGGAAACTTCAAATACGAAGAGACTTTACGCTAAGCATATCCCACAAGGCCTTCGGTTTCTGATTTTCCCTTATATAGAACGTAATAGACATGAGTGTTAACACTTTTGCATGAATGCTACATGGTGCTCGTATATTGAAAACTAAAGAGATTAAGATGCTGATAATGCTTTTATTCATTTTTCAGACCAGATTTGTTTACATGAAAATATTCGTACGATAGAATGCTATTTCGTTTGTTTTTTGTGTTATTTTTTTGGTCAGGTTCTAATGGAATAACTTGAAAGTTTTCAGCATTGTTTTACTACGAAGAGAGAGAGATTTCAAAAGGCCGCAAACAAAAAAGGAAAGAAATGTTCACAAACCAAATAAGATCTCATCTCATCTCTACCTGTGGTCCCTTCTGGGGCATAAGCCACCAACCAGCTTCCTCCAGGCATCTCGGTTCTGGGCGAGTCTCTCCAACTGTCCCCATGTCTTGCCCATATGCTTGGCATCTGCTTCCAAAACGGGGCGCCATGTATTCCTGATAAGCGTTGTTGCTGATAATTCAGCGAGAATGGGTCTTACCATAAACAGAGGGAAGAGCAAGGTGTTCAAGATAAAGGCATCCAACAACACACCCATTACAGTCCAAGGTGAGGCGCTGGAAGAGGTGGAAAGCTTCACCTATCTCGGCAGTATCCTAGACCACCATGGAGGAACAGATGCATATGTCAGTAACCGCATTGGTAAAGCTCGAGCAGCTGAAGAACACCTGGGGATCTAGGGAAATAAGCACCACCACCAAGATAAGGCTCTTTAACACCATTGTTAAACCAATACTACTTTATGGAGCAAAGACCTGGAGAACCACCATCGCCAATATGAAAAAAATCCATATATTCATCAATAGCTGCCTGAGGAGGATACTTATGATCCGCTGGCCAGACAAGATATCGAATGAGGAACTGTGGCAACGAACAAAGCAGCAGCCCATTGAAGTAGATATCCTTCAGAGACGCTGGTGATGGTTAGGTCACACCTTTCCCAAGCCTGCATCAAACATAACAAGGCAAGCCCTTAATCAAATAAGAACATAAACTAAAATGTTATTAAACTTTAGTCATGCAAGTATGTGACCTTGTAATAGAATAGGTCATAAGACCAGTGACTTCTGCTGTACTGGCAAGTTAGTCTAGTGAAATTTTGTGGTCCCAAATTAGACTACCCAGGCTATTAATTATAACCTCTAGATATATAACTTACTAAGACATACAAGTAATAACTTTGAGATTTCATTACAACTAATAAAGAGTTTATTAAGAACAAAAGAAAAATAATTCAAAGAAAATGGGTATAATGGCCAACAAAGGCAAGTCAAATAATGAAGAAAAAGTCAAAATAGTAGGGCCGGTTCAGTTCAACATAATCATAGAACTGCCGTCACAGAGGCACAATAGTCTCTCAGCTCAAAATAAACAATGGGTTACAATAATATCATACGGAATCAAAATAGTAGGGCCGGTTCAGTTCAACATAATCATAGAACTGCCATCACCGAGGCCCAATAGTATCTCAGCTCAAAACAAACAATGGGTTACAATAATATCATACGGGAATCAAAATAGTAGGGCCGGTTCAGTTCAACATAATCATAGAACTGCCATCACCGAGGCCCAATAGTATCTCAGTTCAAAACAAACAATGGGTTACAATAATATCATACGGGAATCAAAATAGTAGGGCCGATTCAGTTCAACATAATCATAGAACTGCCATCACCGAGGCCCAATAGTATCTCAGTTCAAAACAAACAATGGATAACAATAATATAATACAGGAATCAAAATAGTCAATGAGATACACAACTGTCTCTTCTCAAGGCAAAATTTGGTCTTTTACATACGACCCAAATCTGGTCCTTATAAAAAGAACACATACAGGAAAGGATAAGAGACTAAGTAGACATAATATTTACATAAACCAACTTATTAACAACAAATAAATGAAGTCTACTTAGCTCGTTAGTGAAAGATACATTCCCATAATGTGGCACACTCCTCTTGATTAACACAGTCAGAGCAGAACATCAAAACTATCAAATAAACATTATGGAGATTTAGTTCACAATAATGTACGGTGGTCAGCTCAGAGACTGAAGAGGAAGTGGCAATTGTAAACAGCTGACAGGGACTTAAATCAAGTAATAAAGGGGGCTAACTCTCATAAAAAATAAAGGTAGCCACCCTTATTGTCCCTCTTGTCTTGTCTTAGAATATGCGTCCACTGTTTGGGAACCCTCAACTCAAGAAAACATTAAGAAACTAGAACTAATACCAAATAGAGCAGAATGATTCATAACAAACGAATATTAAAAGTAAAATAGAGTAACACCATTAGTTAAATCACTAAACTTAGAGACACTTCAGGACAGTTGAAGTATATCTAAAATAGCTATAATACATAAATCACTGAACAATAATTAACAAATAGAAAACAAAACCTATTGAAATACTCAGAAAGACACAAAGATAAAGGCGCATTTCTTATTCCATACGCTAGAACAAATTAACACAAGTGCTCCCTAGTGCTATTAGAAAATGGAATGGGTTGCCAAAATCAGCCAGGAAAACCAACGACTAGGCAGAATTTAAGCCATTGATTAACATGCATGACTAGATTGACACATGAAATGCGTAGGACGTAACTATCTACCTTTTGTTTTTGAAGTAACGTCTGTAAAATATAAGATAAGAAGATAAGAGAAGGTTCAGATAAGAGAAGGTTCAGATAAGAGAAGGTTCAGATAAGAGAAGGCAGATTTTCGAAAAGGTCATGAACTGAGCAGATTTGTATCCTGCGAACCATCATCAGACAAAGCCTGAAATATCAACCAAGGCTTTATAATGGCTCTTGTAGATTTTAAAAAAAAGAAAGCGTTTGATAGCGTCCATCACGACTATCTCTGAAAAATATGCGACATATCTTCAGCAAATCAAGCTGTTGCATTGAAGCACACGATGTGTCTGAGTTCTTCGACGTTGAGACCGGTCTGAGACAAGGAAAATATCGTATCCCCATTTCTCTTTCTGCTAGCTATAGACTTTGTTGTAAAACTAGCAAACTAAACAGAAATACTTTTTAAAAAATACTCATAGCTTATATATGGGAAAGAACCACATAGTTACTGCCATAAAGAATCATGAATATTTAATCAATAATAATCAAAGTAGTAAAGGCAGACTTTAACAAGACCTCGAGGAATCGTTAGACCTTTTCCTAAACGATAAAGACGACGCTAAAATGTAATTTTTTAAAGTTTTTTCTTCATTACAGCTATGAACTGAACAGACAGACAACAGAAACACAATAGCGGCTTTTCCCAAGGAACCATCAGCATACTTAAGAAAATAAAGCATAAGTCTGCCTACAAAGAGGGGGGGGATATTTTTCACTTGTACATTGATTTACAAGCTCGCATACTTTATACTGAAATAATTATCAGATTAAACGACAACATGTTTTCACAATGCGATGTGGCTACACACTAGAGTGTAGCTTAGACTAGACGCTGGTCACAGTGTCAAGAGCTACATGTGATAGATTGACCTTTAGCACCCTGAGTTAACTACCTTGGATGTGATGGCTTGTTAATGGAGTTTCTATGTTTTAGTGTGACAGTGAGAGACATCGTTTGTGTGCGTCTGTGTGTGTGTGAGAGAGAGAGAGAAGGAGAGAGAGACACAAAAAAAAGCAAGGTATAAGAAATCCTTTTTTTTTGTAAAAAACAAAGTTTTTTGAAGAGGAAGATCTGCGCCCTTACGACAATATCTCTCAAAAATGAAGAAGTAATTTACCTTATTCGATATCTAACAACATAATTAATTACAATTATTTAATTGACTAATTGGTTAATTGTTTAAATTGATTCGCATTTTGTTAGGTAAAATAAATAATTGTTTAAAGTATCAGCTTGAGAATGGGTGTGGAAGAAATTGCGTGTACACTTATCTATAGGGACAAAACCCTACAAATTTAGCCATCCATATATGTGAAAACTGAAGGATTAATTTCTTTTGTTGGTATTAAACAAAATAATTAGTTAGCAGCAATCAATTGAAAAATCGCTTATTATTTTTTTTTATTCCAGTTTTGTCGACGCCAATAAATAAGTGTACAAAGTTTCAGCTTGATCCGAGAACAGGTGTGGAGAAATAACGTGTACAAACCTTTTACCAGAAACACTGAAGTGATAGAAGCTTTGTACACAAAAGTGGAGATTGAGAGTAGAGGAAAGACAAGAGACTGAAAAAGTTTAAAAGTGACTAACTTAGCTCAATGCTTGCTCCTCCTTCTGAATACCCAATGGACCTCATTCACCAATCGTAAACAGACAACATTTAGCCACGTGATTCTCCTATCTCTTCTATCCAAATTACGATCTAATTTTTAATACACAATGGCTATCACGTGACAGTTTTTTTTCTCCGTTGTTTTATCAATATTGTCATGTGACTAAATGTTGTTTGTTTACGATTGGTGAATGAGGTCCATTAAAGAGGATGGAATAATACTATCCCTACGGATTGGCCACATATCCCAAAGAACCGACTAGATATCCCAGTGGAGTGTAATAGTTGAATATCTCAATTGAGTGGTCACATTTCCAAACTATGAAAATAAAATAGGTTTGCTTATCCCCCATGAAGTGGCTACACATCCACATGGACTGGTAGCATCTCCCCTTTGAAGTGGCTACATGTCCACATGAAGTGGTTACATATCTTGTTTCAGAAGCCTCCTAATGCTACGGCGCTGCGGTTATAAAGAACAATTCTTGTAACCGTTTCAGAAATCTGTAATAGAGATGAGCTTTGGAGATATTATTCCAAACTTGAAGCGATGATTCTTAAACTTACACAAACTTAATTAAATGTTAAAGTTTAGTATCTGACATTGGAGTCCAAGCCCTTTGAAAACTTAAAATAATATGGAAAGATAAGGGCTTAGCCCTCTGCACCAAAATCGGACTGATGCGCTCTCTGGTCATGGCCACATTTTTATAGGCTTGCGAGTCTTGGACGCCGACTGCAGAGCTAGAGAGGAGGATCCTAGCAATGGAATTGAGATGCTACAGAAGGATCCTAGGCATCACATTTAAAGACCGCATCACAAACCAAGAAATCAGAGACAGGGTTACTGTAGCGATCGGAGCCCACGACGACCTGCTAACTATTGTAAAAAGACGAAAACTTGAAACCTTTGGCCACATTACAAGATCTACGGGGCTCGCAAAAACCTTCCTTCAGTGAACAGTGCCAGGAAAAGAAGAAGAGGCAGACAGAAAAAGCGATGGGAGGACAACATTAAAGAATGGACGGGCCTGCCATTGAGAGAGGTTCTAAACAAGGCAAAAAAAAAGGAGAATTGGAGAAAGACGGTCGACAAATCTTGCCTGGTGCCCCAATGGTCCAACAGGCTAAGGGATAGGTAAGGTAAGGTAAGGTATCTGACATAGTTACGTCAAATATATATGACATATGTAAATTTTAAAGGAAAGTATTTGACATAATTACGTAATTTACCAGATACATGTTTAAGTCAAAATACTGCCTCCAAACTGCATTCCTCATTAATCTTCGGACTCGAAGACAAGCCTTATAATTATTAAGTCAACTATTTGACATAGTCACGTGACTTACCAGCTATATTAAGTCAAGTATTTGACGTAGTTATGTAACTTATCAGGTGCATTTTAAAGGAAAGTATTTGACATGGTCACGTGACTTACCAGATAGTTGTCTGCTGGGACGACTCGCAGGAAGTACGGGAATGCTTCTTTGTCGCTGAGAGCTTCACTTGTCGAGCTGAAACTGACCAGGGGCACCTCGGCTGGGCCCAAAATGGACGCTGCGTGCATGCTGTTGGAGCTACGAAAGCACCCGACTACGCCGGCCACGTCGTACGACTCCAGGACATCGTCCTGGTTGGTGAGGAAGGCTCCGTCTTGGATGACAGTTTTGACGAAGCGTATGGCCTGGATGGCCGCGGTGCTCTCCTTCATGCAGTCGTCGAGGACGACCAAGCCCAGCTGGACGTTTGGCAGTAGGGACTGGTTCCGGTTGATCTCGTCCACCGCGAAGATGACCGCCTCGGAAAAGTGGAATGAGCTGTTCATGAAGCTGGACTGACCACAAAGTCCGGCGTGGTCGAAGCCGAGTCCGGGAAGGATGGCCCCCAAGTTGACGTCACCCTCTCGAACGTACTTCAAAGGCGGCTGCCTCTTCATGATAAGCGTGGTAGGTGTGACTTGATGGAAGGCGTAAACCAGGAAGTACATAGTTAATTTGAGAACAGACAAAGGTGTAGCCATCATGGAGGTTATTAACAATTGAAGATTTATCCTTTTTAACACAGATCTCGATTTTATCATCTTTCAGTCCGAACTTATAAATATAAACAATAGAAGAAAATCACAAAAGTTTTCATAAAGTTTTCTTAAGATTGAAATATATATATAAATACTAGATTTACTAGTATACTACCCGGCTTCAGCAGATGTATTGGTCCCATTTTCAACTTTATTGTTAATTAGCTTGGCTGGTTAAGAAACAAATTAGAATTATTAATGAAACTTCAATATATGTATAGCTTTGAGGTTTCATAATAATTTGTACTTTATATATATTTCTAATTCTATGGTGTTCCTGCACATAATGAATGCTAACAATTACATTTTTTTTTTGGGGGGGGGGGGGGAGGGCTTAAATAAAAACGTGACAGGGGTACTCTCTATGCATAAATTCTTGTTCTTTCTTGAGCTGCTGACATATAAGCTCTAGATGTATTTTAATCATAGGCTATGAAATGAGTTATGAAATCGAGACTTGCATAAAGCTAATGTACTTTAAATATATTTGTAATATCTTACAAGACAGCATAAAAGCATGCATAAAGAATATTGTCCTTACGTGTCTCTCTAAGCTTAGTGATTTTACTAATGGTGTTGTAGAATGTACTATAAGCGCTATAAAGATCAACTCAAGCGCCATTTTGCCCTCAATGGCATAGAAGAATGTAGCTGGCAACAGATGGACTCTGAAAGAGACAGTTGGAGAGCTCTCATGAAGGCCTGGAAACACAGAGAAACCCTTGCCAAGGACAGGCGCAGAAGAGGTTAAGAAAACTTATATTTGTCTGTATTCGATGTGACAAAATATGTAGGTTACAACTGGGTTTGCGTAGTCATAGGAAACATCGCACTCATTCTTAATCCTCAGAACCGAAGACATTGTCATTATACGTGACGGACGTCTTCCATATCTGTATATGAATATAAAAAGAAATCGACTCCATACTGTTTTTCTGAAACTTCTTGTAACTTTAACTTGGGAACGAATTGTTTGATGATTAAGTGACGGAGGTTAAGCATCTGGTGATTAAGAAACCTAACAAATTTGCTTAATTAGTTTTTAAAAAAATATAGATGCGAATACAATCTAATGAAATCAATTAGAGGCACATTTCTTATTCCATATGCTAGGACAAATCCGTACAAGTGCTCTAATAGAGAAAACCAGCGATTTAACAGAGTTTAAGTCACTGATTTGATTAACTTTCATAACCAGTTTGATACACGAAAAGCGTTAGGGTGTAATAATCTTCTCTTTTGAAGCGACGTCTGTGTTTGGATTTGTGGCACATCGGCACACTTCGGGCCATGTCGTGCCCACAATCCCTCAAGGTTTACTTCCCCTTTCCAGCACTTCTGTATCTTTAAAAAGAAGAATTCAGTACGATGCCAAAAGGTTAGAATAGCTAGTCTAGGCCTCCTACTTTCGTCGATTAATGTGTGTAGTGTATTGCTTTATAACAAGAGCTCTTTAAAGTCTATAGCTCTAGACATTCTGGATCTACTGGTAGACTGGTTTAAATGAACAAATAGATCTAGATTGTGAATCTACAATCCATGACCAAATTACGTGATTACAGATGCTAATAATTTCCTACTTTGAACTGCATGTTAAGCGTTTAAAATTATTTATTTTTTCTTGAACACTTGCAATGAGAATATTCTCTTCCTTTCAAAAAGCTGTTTGTTTTGTGTTGTATTGTAGTTCTCTCCCTTAGGTGGAGATTCTAAGCAAAACATTGCGTTTCTTGTTCGCTCAGAATGGCGCTGGCCTTGCGAATTATTATAGCTGTGCGCAATGCTGAGTCGTAACAAGTAAAATACATTTTTAAAAACTTTAAAAAAAAAAAAAAAAAAAAAAAAAAAGCTTATTTATTTAGAACTATATCTCTCAATAGTGTAGAAAATATTTCCCTTATTCCATATAAAACAATAATTAACTGACTAGTGTAAAAGAATGGACCTGCCTCTTATCTTATCTTATAAAATACAGACATTACTTCAAAAAAGAAGATGAAAACATAATACGAGTCAAGCATGTTAACCAATGACTTAAATTCTGTGAAGTCATTGGTTTTCCTGGCTGGCTCAGGCAACTCATTCCATGCTCTAATAGCACTAGGGAAGAAGGAGTATTTGTACACATTTGTCCTCTCTCCTGATATCCTGCTAAGAACAGCTGCTGACCTGGAAAAATGGAGGGATTTTGTTACGCGAACTGTCACAGAACCCGTAAAGTCAAGGGACAGATGATGATGAATCGACTAATTCGTTAATTTTTTAATTTCGGCTCGTGTTTTGTTAGGTACAAAAAATAATTTTTCGACTTGATCCGAGAATGGGTGTGGCAGAAATAACGTGTTTAAGTATCTAAGCGGACGAAACCCTTCATGTTTAGCCGTATCTTTGAATACTGGAGGATTACGCTCGTCCATGCAGACAAGTCTTGGCGAGACTTGAGGATCTTGATATATCTCTGTACAGTCTTACCTTTTTTTAACAGTGTGTTAAGGAGTGTGTGTGTGTGTGCGTTTCTATGGTAAGGGTGAGAAGAAGTTGGCGATTGGTTGGTGGCTATGGAGTGTGAATGATGCAAGATAAGCGGCACTGTCGTAAGTTGTCGTTGGGTAGACCAGACAACTCCAGAATGCTTGCGTGAAAAGACGTGTTTTTTGTTGTTGTTGTTGTTTTTGTAGTGAGTTAGATTTTGTTCAAAATACTTTTATATTATTATTAATAAAGCCTGCTATATTTATATCATTTCTTATCACGTTAAATTTGTTAATACTGAAATGAAACGAAAAAGAACAGCGCTGGCAGAAGAAAAACGCCAGAGAAGAAAAGCAAGGCAAACGACACTAGCTCCAGCTGGAATAACCTGCCCAGTGTGCGGCCGAACATTCCGGGCTCACATAGGTCTCACCAGCCACACGAGGAGGCATAAAACCCCAAAGTGCAAAGCCCTCAGCCCCCTGGATGACAAAGTGGTCATCATCGAACCACGATGGACGAACTATATATATATATATATAATGAAAGTTATATTTAGTATCGTTAAAGAAGTGACTCAAGTTGTCCCAAGTTAAAATATAATACGCATGCAATGGTTTAGTTGTCTACCAGCAGTTTGGTGCTACTAGTCAACGACCTTCAATAACACACTAGTCAGATATCATCGTGGGGTCCAATCGTCACTGTGATACTTTTGTTTGTATTTTCACGTTTGTAACGAGTCTAAATTGTGTTTTTTTTTAAGGTTTCACATTTTTTAAAGAGTATTTTATTGGCTCTTCATCATCGACACTTTGCCATTGTGCCTTCAGACTTCATGTCTGAAATCATAAAGTCGTACTAACCGCACAATCCCAGGGTTACATCTGGAATACTGGCTTTGACTCTACAACTTGCACAAACTGCCGAGACGTGTCAGGCCTACTTCTTTCACTTATTCAAAGAGACACCAGAGATTAATTAATAACAGAAATATAACTTTAATAAAAGCATTCAGGATAACTGTAGTTGTAGACAATGCATTGAATGTTAACAATGAAATATACACAACTGACATCTATAGTACTTATACTATTTAATACTATATGATTAGACTCCAAAACTCAGGCCTCTGACAACAATAACAATCTCTCAAGGGACGCTACTCTACCCAAACCAATGGACCAAAAACAACAAATAAACCTAGAAATCGTAATCTCTTACACCCAAGATTCTATGAAGTACCATCCACAGTAAAACATACAAACACAATCACCCCCACCGTTATTACTTTCTGAATAAAAGAAACAGTTATTGAATTTGGATTGTTGGTTGATATATGTGTCTGTTCAATCTTGATACGTTTCGAGCATCTAATTCGTAGAAAAGAAGTTTATTATTAATCTTTATCTAAATTACAAATATAAAAATCTATTCATACAGGAAGCTTAATACTAGAACGGATACTACGGTAGAACGAATGATAATTTCCTGCAAGCTACGTTTTCCGGTTCGTTTCTGTCTGCCGGAAAATTACAGTAATTATAAACAGCGTTTTTAAAATGGTAAGCTAATGTGTGAAAGTAGTTGGGTACAAAGCGAAAGTAGTTAGGGACGAGGTGAAAGTAGAGGTAATCAGGTAGACAGTTGACATACCTAAGTGAAAGCAGATATTAATTAGGTGAAAGTAGATGTGACTATTATTATTATTATTATAGCTTTTATATAGCACTACTTTCATGCTTATAGCATGCTCAGAGCGCTTTTGGTCCAATCTCATTTGTGGACCAGTGGGGGGGGGGGGGGGGGGGGGGAGGGGGTATCTAGGAGTTGGTTTTCCGTGCTTTAGGCGCTCAGTAAATAAGTGACTAAGTGAAAGTAGACATGTATACGTTAAAGTAGATTAAGATAAGTGAAAGTAGATATAGATAAATGAAGGTAGAGATAGGTAAGTGAAAGTAGACGTAACAAAGTTAAAGTGGACGTAACTATGTGAAAGTAGACATGACTAAGTGAAAGTAGATTGTACAAAGAGATTGTTCGCATACGAAAACAAAGTAGACGGTACGAAGAGAGCGTAGAGCAGTAGACCAAAGTAGACAGCATTGTGAAAGTACGAGAGAAATGAAAGTAGACATAGCATAGTGAAAGTAGACATAGCATAATGAAAGTAGACAAAGCATGGTGAAAGTAGACATAGCATAGTGAAAGTAGACATAGCATGGTGAAAGTATACATAGCATAGTGAAAGTAGACATAACAAAGTGAAAGTAAATATAGCATAGAGAAAGTAGACATAGCATAGTAAAAGTAGACATAACATGGTGAAAGTAGACATAACATGGTGAAAGTAAACATAGCATAGTAAAAGTAGATACATCATAGTAAAAGTAGATACATCATAGTAAAAGTAGATATAGCATAGAGAACGTAGACATATCACAGTGAAAGTAGACATATCATAGTGAAAGTAGACATATCATAGTGAAAGTAGATATAGCATAGAGAACGTAGACATAGCATAGAGAACGTAGACATAGCATAGCGACCGTAGACATAGCGTGGTAAAAGTAGACATAGCATGGTAGTAGCATACATTACAAAGTGAAAGTTGACATAGCAAAGTGAAAGTAGAACAAAGTGAAAGTAAACGGGAAAATGTCTACTGTTAATGTTAAAGGGGTCTCATATCTCAAATAACTTAGGGCTTTTATCAACTCCAAATCCGGCCCTGTTCAAGTCATTCTAATAAGGTGTGTCTCTAGTCATGTCCAAAAATACTCTCTTGAATTTAAAGTCAACAATATTTCAGTTCCATGCGTTACGTCATTACTAATTGAATAAGAGAAAAATAGCCCCAATATGATGACGTCATAACAAGGTTGTAAACTGAGCAGAGATATTCAGTAAACAAATGAACGCTCTACGGCATCATTCTTTGCGAACGGCTGTTGATATAGTAATTTACAACTATGTTAATATCAACACTTGGCATCAACAACGACCGACCATATGAAATACCCCAACTATTTTCGGGTGCCCGTCAGAAATGAGTGAACTCAGAGAGCCCTAAAAACCATCAACTTTAAAATCCTAGTGTTCAATAGGATTCGAACCAGCGACTTCAGAAACCAAACTGTACTTCATCACTCAGTCATATTTCAATCTTAGCTTTAATATTTCCTTATAAGGTCAAAGGCAAATGTCATTGCTTATAATAAAATTACAGTCTAGTTCAACTTCATTACCTTGTCCAGGTTAGGCGGCTGGGTGAGCCAAACATGGTTAAATAATATCCTTCCATAGTTGTTTGGCTTCTTCCACAATTGGTCTCCGCGGAACAGACGTCAGGCTTCTGTTTCTCTTTTAATTAAATGAAGCCTCACAATTAATAGCTCTTCAATTCAAGAAGGAAGAAATAGTTTATCACTCGCTTAACCAAAGTTAAATACTGAATTTCAAGTTCAAACATATGGTATTGGTTTTGATACTGCGACAGTTACATACTGAGTTTCTGGGTTAAAAGTAATGCTATTAGTTTTGATAATACGACTTAGATAAATATTGTGTTTCTTGGTTGAAACTTGTAATATTTTATAGATTATGGGATTGTCAAGTGACCAATCTACTAGGCTACTCTACTATACATTTCTGTTAAGCAAAATGAAAGTGGTTTGAACAGTCACACTGTGTTTCTGAAGTGTTTTTTTGTTTTTTTTAAAATTTAATTGTCATTAATACTAAGTTGCTGATTATGTATCATGTTTCTTCAATTACACAGACGGGCAAGACGTAGGGACAGTTGGAGGAGAGACACGCCCAGAGCTGGAGGAAGGTTGGTGGCCTATGCCCCAGACGGGACTACAAATAGAGACAGACAGTGTGAGAGACAGAGAGAGAGAGAGAGAGAGAGAGCTTGTACAGGTTGATTAAAAAAGAATGTGCCAAAATCATCACATATTTATTCATTTCATAAGCATTCAATGGAATGAATTAGTCAAGGCCGGACTTAGGAGAGGGAAAGCGAGCTAAAGCCCTGGGAACTCCACAAGAAGATACCTTCACAAAATAGATTAAAAAAATATATCCGAATTTTGACAAGTCAGAAACTTTTAAAGTTTTTTTTTCTATGTTTTTTTCGCATTATTTCACCTGTCAAAAATGTTGTGATTAAGAAGTATCGTCTTACAACATGCTTGAATAATTAAATTCAGCTCCGGATGTACGACAGTGTGTCTACCAAAGACCTTTCCCTCCACAAACTAAAAAAATACACTTTTTTAAACTAAAATATGCATATTAAATATTTTGTTAACAAGGAAAAAGAGATTAGATTTACAAGAACTTTATTTTCTTCTTCTAATATATAGCATGCTTTTAGATAGAAGTATTTTCATTCATGGGTGGATCTTTATTAAAACTTTCGAAAATTTGTAGGGGCCTCCACAAAAATCCTGACTCAGGGCCTCCACATATCTTAATGCGGCCCTGAAATTAGTAGTCACTCAAGGCAGGAATATCTTAATCCGGCCCTGAAATTAGTAGTCATCCAATGCAGGAATTGTCCTTAAACTGGGTATCAATTTCAACTTTTCAATCTCAGTTTATCTTCGTAGAAAAAAATCCGATGTTTATTTACCCTCAAAATGGTGAATTCCCAGCTGACGGCGT